TGAAAGTGGAGTAGTTTTATATACAACAAAATAACCAGCATTTAAAACGTTCTTTCCATTAAATGGTTCTTAACGCATTATGAATGAACAACGTATTTTTAAGGAATTCGAAGGCGTTAAACAGGAGAAAATCGTTTTTAATGCAATCTAACGCGTTTAGACACTCTGCAAATATACCGCTTTTTTGCTACATTCCTAGTATTCTTACTACAAGTTTTTGCCGACGATTTTAAAGATGAATACTTTTCGATACGAAGAAAACAGCGAATATTGCTGTTTGTAGGCACTCTAAAGTGCGGAGTTTTATTTTCTCCTACAAACAGTGGTGTGCCCTGTTTTTTTCCGACCGAAAAGTAATAATCTTTAAAATCGTCCACAGCCATTCCGCCTCATGCACAGAATATTAGATTGGCTCTAATAATGAACTGATCCTAGCGATAATACCTTCGGGTATACATTCTCTGATAGTTCAAGCGTGAATGTTTTCTTTACATACGTGAAGCGTTACCTTATCGGTAATATTCACACGGGAACCATAAAACATGAAACCGCTCTCAGTTTTATTTTGAGATCAAATGCCAGTTATAGTCGAACCATAATTGAGACATAACAATATATGGGAGAACTCTGAATATGCAGCTCTTCTAAAAATTTTCTGAAATTGAAGAAACCGTTAAACCGTTAGATAAAAAATACAATAAAATTAAATCGTATACAGATTATGTTATAATGATAGGTGATGTTAATGAGAGGCATACATATTGGGGTGATAAATTAAGCAACATTATTGGCAAATGTTTGTCTGAGAAAATACCACCCTCACCCTCACCCTCAGATTAGAGTCCTGCAGGTTTAAACCCGATCCCGAAACCTCTTTCTTCGGGTTCGGGACGGGTTTGAGTTCATCAGAACAGAATCGGGTTTCTTCTCTACTGTCTTTTGTAGTTAACTTCTACTATTTTCTTCAAAAGTCAGAAGTAAGAAAAGATCTGTTTCTGAGTCTGACAAAACGTTTATCGCAAGAATTGAAATAGAAAAAACTATTTTCGCAAGTCTGTTAATTTTTACTATCATTCAAACTACCATCACTCTGATTCAGTTTCTGCTTCTTATCTGTGAATTGTTCATACTCATCATTTTCATCGGAATGTTGTCGCTAATCAGTATTTTTATCCATCGATATTCGCGTATCGAAAGATTTTAATAAAGACAAATTTTTCTTAAGAAACATTAACTTGTTAATTTTTTCGGTTCCTAATCGTGTTCGACGATCAGTAACTGTGTTTTTCGAAGAAGAACATAGGCGCTGGACCTCTGTGTTTGAGGCTGGAATGGCGATTTGCTGATGCACACAGTAACCAGAGCACCACTTTACTGGAAAAAAAATTCGGGTTCTTGGGTGTTTAATTTTAAAAAATCGGGATCCCGACAACTTTTTTCCGGCTTCGTATTCAGGACGGGTTTCAAGTCTACGGGACCGTATCGGGTTTCGGATCAAAAATGTTAGATCCGCAGGAATCTAATGAGATGCAAAGCAGCGAAACGTATAGACGAACATAATTTGTGGCAGTAAAATTACAATTTAAAAGCATCAAAGGTTACAAAAAGCTGAAATATCGGGGTCTATCAAACGTCGGTTAATCTTTTTTAACTGTTAAAAATTGTTCATTAATTAAAGCCATCTTTATGAAATCCCTTTTTGGACCGAATTTGTTCGGCTGATACTTTCCTCTCCTTTCCCGTCACTTTGAGTTAAATATATTTACTGATCTAGACAAGATCATTTTTTGAGAAACAATGATCAACCTTTATCAAAGGTTCATCGGCGTTTTTACTCTAACTTTGTATAAAAAAAAACAGAAAAACGTTGCAGTACATATGTTGTTTATGTTAAGATTTTGTAATATATAAATGCATTTGGTTTATCTTCTCTATTATCCTCATGTGTCGTAAGTCGATCATCGTAAAACTGTTTGTATAAACGAAAACCATTATGTTCATAAAATTTATAATTGCAGCCGATATCACTCCAAACAAAAATACTTTTTATGTTTTTTTCATTTTTACAAGATTCTACATAACGCTCCATTAACAAACGTTCATAACCTTTTCCTTGTAAATCTTTGCTTAAAACAAGTAAATTTATATCACTATCAAATTCTTCGCATTCTTCTTCAATACGTTTGCTGATCGTTGACATTTCATCGACAACTTCATGAGAACGATATTGTGGTATCATTTTTTTTACTTATATCTAGTTCTTCTTTCATTAATGTTAGTGGACATGACTTCGATTCGATAATTATTTTATGTAGTGGATGGTAACTTGATCTTGATAATATCGATGATACTTTTTTCAATCGTTTTTCTAGTAAATATAATCTAATTGGTTATATATTCGCTTCAACTTCCATGACTTGTGATGCTATTTGTTCTACATTTAATACAAACAATAAGAATTGTTTTTGAATTTTTTGTAGTATTTTTAATAATTTGTAGGGTAATTTCGATGACCAAACAGCAGCACCATAGACTATTTTCGGTATTATTAATGTTTTATATAAGCCAATTAATATTTTTGTATCATAAGTACATTTATTTTGACTAAGCCAACGTTGTATTCTATCAAACTCTCTTACACATGCGGTACGTACTGATTCTATGTGCTGATCCCATTTGAATTTATTATTATATATTAAACCTAAATAATTAACTGTTGAACATGGTAATATTCTAATTCGATTATATATTAATGGTGTATTATTCATAAATCTTTTGCGATGAAAATGAATTAATTGAATCTTATCTATTTGTAACTCTAATTTCAAATCTTTCAATGTTTTATCTATTTGTTTGATAAATAACATTAATTTCCTCACATTATATTTACTGTCACTGCCTTTACGTATCACTGTCAAATCATCAACATAACCATGAATAAGACAATTTTTGAATTCGATATTAAATAATCATCTAGTATAAATGTTAAATAAAATAGGTGATAGCGAACTACCTTGTGGAGCACCATAATTCATTAACTTAAATTTTGATGTTATACCATCTTCTAATGATACACATGCATTACGTGGTTCACAAAATGATTTAACAAAATTTATGATAGGTGCTGATATACCAGTTTTCTTTAATTTGGTTATTAATAATGTTGGATTAATGCTATTGAACGCTTTACTAACATCTAGAAATGCCGTTGTTACAATTTGTTGCTTATCGATACCGGTAGCAATATGATGACTCAAAAATAGTTGTGCATCCTCTGTTCCTAATCTTTTTCTAAAACCGAATTGCTTATTATCAAATACATTTTTGGCTTCACATTCAATTATCAATTTTTTAACTAATTAATTTTTCTAGAATTCTTGCAAAGCATGATATTAGACTTATAGATCTAAAGTTTTTACTTGTATAAATAAAATGTTTTCTTTTCTTTTTAAATGCTAATAATTTTATAATTTTCCAAGATTCTGGATAAAAACTATGCTCTAATATTTTATTATATATCTTTAATAGTAATTGTTGAAATAATGATCCTGATTGTTGCAACATAATCAATTGTATACCCTTAAAATCGGCTGCTTTTCGTGGTGGCATTTGCATTAACATGTTTTCTTCTTCCACAATCGTTATGTGTTCCTCTGTATCCTTATTATTATTAATCTGACTAGTGGTTGTAGTTACTGTAGTATTAATTACATTATCATCGGGACAAAATTCATCAATCAATTCATCTGCTATATCAAGTTTTTTGATTATTTTTTGATTGTTTTTATCAATTAAATCTGGAATATTTTGTTTTATCTTTTTCGTTATTAGCCGTTGTATATTTCTTAATTTTATTGATTTATTTATGTTTAACCTGTACTGTTGTTTGGCTTCTCTGATATGTTGTTTGAATAATTGCTGCTGTTGTGTATACTTATTATAACTTTTTGGCGAATGATCTTGAGCTTTGTAGATGCGCTTATATTTGTATACTAATTTACGATGTATTGTTAATTCTTTTGTCCACCAGTATTTACTGCTCTTGTTCGTTATTATTTTCGGTATTGTATCATGCGCTGCATTCATTAAAATGTTTTGTAATTGCTCTGATATTTTATCTATATCTTGGATGTTGTTAATCATTACTGATTTTAAATTTTCTCTTTTAATATTATTATTAATATGTTGAACAAAATTATGCCATTCTGTTTTTGCGTAGTTCCATCTAAACCTTGCTATCAAATTAATATTTTTTATTGTTGATGAAGTTAACCATTATAAATCATGCAAATTGACTTCAATTAATTCGTGATCTATTTTGTCTATTTGTGGTATAATTGACCATGTTGGCGAATATTTATTTATATCATCCGTATGTAGTGTTAAATCAATAACACTTGAACATCCATTTTCATCATGATACGTTGATACTCCAAATATATCTGCTAAATAAAGATCATGTTCAATTATTTTCTCATACAAACATTTGCCAATAATGTTGCTTAATTTATCACCCCAATATGTATGCCTCTCATTAACATCACCTATCATTATAACACTATTTATCGTAAACTATAACCATCGCTGTGTCTTGTATAACTATAAGTATAACTATCACTTTGTATTGTATAAGTATATTCTTTTACATGCTCACCAGGTATAACATATTTCAAATGCATTCTGGATGAATTAAACGCACCGGTTTCTGGTTTAAGAATTTTCACACCGTAATTATTTCCAATGTCACCACCGGTTATATATTGTACATTAATTTCATTAGTTTTAAAATTTCGTATTTTACCATTAATTTGATATATTGTTCTTCTGTTTGGATATGATGTGTATGAATCTGTGCTTGATTTATTAACTCTACAATCTTGTTTCATAATAACTTCTTCTTCATATGTCACATCGGGATCTGCACCAAGAACAAAATCATATGAACTATTTGGATATATATCATATGGAAGCATTAATTCACCCAAAATGTTTTCATTTTCATGTATAATTATACTGCCTTTTCGTAAAAATTCGATGTTACTCAATAATTTACATGAACGTGCCATATTACCACGATGTGTTACAAATGAAAATTGATCTTTCTTTAAAGAATACTTACATTGAACGTCAACATAAGTTTGTGATATAGGCACAATAAAATGAGCTTTTGATGCTATTATAAATGGTTCACTAATTGTATAAAGCTGAACTTCTCAATTCTCATTTTTCGTCTTCCTACTCTTCTCTCAGGGACGAATTCCTCCCTCAACCAGTCCAGACTTGCCGACGTTAGATAAACACATCGGGTTCTCCATACGACACGTTGAGCGTTTACTTCAGAAATTGAAAAGAAAAGAAAGAATGCACAGTTTACGGAGAATAACTATCAATAGAAGATGAAATTCGAACATATTTAGAACGATGAAGACGTAAAGATCAGTAGTGAGGACAATGCATAGTATAAAAAAAAGAAACACGACTTAGGCGACGATAAATTTTGAAAAACTGCAGGGTACTTCCGCACAGGTCCGCCGAGTATTGCATGAACTAAACGCCGGGAGGGTTTGACTGTTTGAAAAATTTTTATCTTTTCCAAATTCTTTTATAGTTTTTCGTAAGCTTTTGTTTCAAAAGAAGGTTTGAAAATTTTTTAAGATGCATAGTCTTGTAGAGCTCGACGAGCTCTATCTAACTCTTTTAATCTTTTGAATAAAGACAGCACAATAAAAGCAGTTACGAGGAAAGCACAAAATCCGCTTATTCTGAGCTTTGTCATTCTTTAGCGAAAAACGACATTTCTGCTTTTCTCCATCTTTTTGTAGTATTTAATAGAATATTTTCGGGTTGTTTCTGCGTTTGAGTAGAGCTAAAGCTCACGATAAAAGAGCTTATTTCAACAAAAAACTGGCTGAGTTATGAATCATAGATAGAACTATTTAAGATATGTGGACGATGCTTTCTGCGTCTTTTCCAAGAAACAAAACGTCGATGCATTCTTAAATACGATTAATCATTGGCATAGTAATATTAGCTTTAGTGTCGAGAAGCAAACGAACGATGAATTACACTATCTCGATGTATTGGTAAAAAGAAATGTTACTGACAAAAGTATGATACCACCTTATACAAGAAACCTACGAACACTGGACTCTATCTACTATTTGAAAGTAATCAGTGTCGACGATATAAATTAAGTTTAATTCAAACATTGTCAGTGCGTATATTTCGAATTTTTTCAACTCAGGAATTTGCAAAAATTGAAATCAATAAATTGACAAGAACATTAACAGACAATGGCTACCCTTC